GTTAGTGGAAACTATCTCAGTAATCTCACACAGTGCACATATAGGCTTTAGCTATTACAAATATGTTCAGAGAACTAAAACCAAGTTTAAAGACATAAAGAGAACAATATCTCACTTAAAGATTGTATAAGAGAAATGGTAAATAACCAAATAGAAATTGTGGAGTTGAAAAAAAAACAAAAAATTCACTGCATAATCTTAACTAAGCTTTCAACTGGCAAGAGAAAAAATAATTGGAAATTTAAAGATAATTGACAGTCAGAGATACAAAAAGAGAAGAATAAGGAAAAATGAACAGAGCTTGAGGAGACTTGTGGAGCTCCATCAAACATTTCAACACATGCATGAGTTTTAGAAGGAGAGCAAGGAGAATCTGGCTGTCCCTTGGTATCTGTGGGAGATTGGTTTCCTGCAGATACTAAGAGATGTGAATGCCCAAGCCACTTATATAAAATGGCATAGCACTTTTGAATAACCTGTGTATGTCCCAAATGAGTGTTACTGCCTGGACATGTCATAAGCAAACTGTTGAAAGGCAAAGAGAATCTTGAAAGCATCAAGAAAAAAATGACTTATTGCATCTAAAAAATGTTAAATATGTTAACACACATTTCATCAGAAGTGATAGAGGGCATAAGTCAGAAATATGGATGACATATTCAATGTTAAAAAGAAGACTGTCAGCCAGTAGTCTATATCTAGTAAAATTGTCCTTCAGAAATAACAGTGTGCTTCAATATAAATAAAAGCGCGAATTATATTGCTAGCATATTTTCCCTAAAAGAAATACTAAAGGGATTCCTTTGTGCTGAAATGAGAAGTCATTAAGACAATTAACTTAAGTCCTTCTGAAGAAATAAAGAGAAAAAGTAGAGCTAAAATTATAAATATAAAAGAAAGTGCAAATTATTTTTGCTTATAACTCTTTTTACCTGCTCTCCAATTTAAAATGAGTACTGCATAAAGATATAAGGCTATGTCTGTGGGCTTATAAGACAATTAATGTAACAGTAGTACAGTGTGACAATAGTTGAATAGATGAGGGAGGAGGAAACACCTATTAGAGCAAATTTTGTTTATTATTGCAACGAAATTGGTACTATATCTGATTGTTTTAAGATAATCAGTTCCATTTCTTAGGTCCACTACTTAAACTTAAAACTTTTAATAAAATTCAGAAACATAAAAATAGCTTGAAACTTTTAGTAAAATTAAAAAAAACAGAATAAGGAAATTAAGTATTGAAGAAAATCAAACAAGACAGTAACAAAAATAGAAGAAAATATTTAATACACAGAAAACAAATAGCAAAATGTCACATGTAAGTCATACCTTATCGATGATTACACTAAATGTAATCAAAAGGCAAAGTTGATAGGATGAAAAAAACTTGATCCAGTTATATGCCATATACAGAGATAAATTTTAGATTTAGAGGCACAAATAGGTTGAAAGTGAGGATTGAAAAAGATGTACCATGCAGATAGTACCTAAAAGAGAAAGTGACTACATTAATGTTAGATAAATTTTAAAAATTGCTCCTAGAGTCAAGCAGGCACATTTTATGATAATAGCATCCATACACCAGGAAGACATATCAGTCAAACGTAGGTACCTAACAAGATACATTCATGAAAGCAAAATACACAAAGGAAAAATTGATAATTGAAGGGAAAACCACCTATATAAGTGGCAGATTTTAATATCCCACTTTCCATATCAGTAGAACAATGAGGAGTAAGATCAACAAAAATCAAAGACTTAAATCTCACTATAAAAGAGACAGATTTAACATGTATCAATAGAATAACAACAGTAAGATACAGTTTTTTATGAAGTATATGGAATAGTTTCCAGATTAAATCATATATGTTCATAAAATAAACCTCATATTTAAAAGGACTGAAAGAATACAAAGTATGTTTTCCAACCACAGTAGAATGAAATTAGGTATCAGTAACAGGCAATTGGAAAATTCACCAGTATATGGAGGTTAAGTAGCATATTGGTAAATAGCTAATTGTTCTAAGGGAAATTAGAACATATTTGAGATTGGTGAAAATAAAAACACAGGGTACCCAAACTTAGACAATATTGCTTAAGGAGAATGTTACAGGGAAATTTATAGCTCTAAGCATTTGTATTTAAAAAGAAAAATCTGAAGAAACTAGCTAAAGAAGAACAAGTTCAACTGATGTAAGTGGAAGGAAGGAAAAAAATCTAAAAGGGAAAAAAAATGAAATAGAAAAACAAAAACCAAAACCAAAGAAATATCAACAGAAGCAGGAGTTGGTTCTTTGTAAAGCCCAACAAAATTGGCAAACATTTATGACAGTGGCCAATTTTAAAAAAGAATAGATTCATTACTAAAATCAGGAATTTATAAAAAGGGGTATTACTATTCACTTGACAGAAATAATAATATGAAGAGAATACTACAAACACTTGTATGTCCACAATTTATCCTGGATAAAATGGACAAATTCCTATAAACACACAGGTACTGAAAATGACTCAAGAAAGAGCAAATCTGACTAGACTTGTAAATAGTAAACAAAATTATTGTAAAAAAGAATCTTCCCATAAACAATGATTTTGTTTCAGAAGGCTTCATGTTGAGTTCTACCAAATATTTAAAGAATTATTAATCATCTTTTCAGTAGTCTTTCCAAAAGTAGAAGATGCTTCTTGACTTGTTCCCTGAGGTATATCTGTATATTAATCCAGTATCTCAACCAGGCAAATACACCACGAGGAAACTAGAGAGCTGTGCGGTAGTTAAGATAGGCATAAAGGTGCTCATCAAAATAGTAACAGACTAAATCCAACATGAAAAGGATTATATACCATGACTACATGCAGTTTTGCCAGGAATGCAGGAGTGGTCCACTATGAAAATCAGTCACTGAATAATGAGTGAAGACAATACAATTATCTCAGTACTCCCAGAGTATTTGACAAAATCCAATAAACATTTATAATTAAAACTAACTCGTTGAACTAGTGATAGAAGATAAAACCCACAACCAGTATTATTCTTAATGGTGAAAGAGTGAAGGCTTTCACCCTGAGATAAGGAACAAAACAGTATGCATTCTTGCCAATTCCATTGAGTGTTGTACTGAAGGTTCTAGTCAGGCATTTAAGCAAGGAGAAGAAATCGAAAGGTACAGAAAGCTGTCAATGAACTGTCCAGATAAGAAGTTAAGAAAAATTTCCAATTAAAATAACACTGAAAAGAATAAACTACTTATGAATAACTTTTAACAGAAAAAAATGGAAGATTTATATACTAACAAATACAAAAGATTATTTAGAAGAAATTACAGCAGACTTAAATAAATGGAAAGAAATCTGATGTTCATGGAATAGAATACTTAATCTTGTTCAGAGTGTATCTTTCCCAAATTGATATATAGATTCAATACCATTTCTGTGAAATTGCTGATTTTTTTTTCTTTAGACACAATAGTATGCCTCCAAAATTCACAAAGAACTTATAAGGGACCCAGAATAATTAAAACAATCTTAAGAGAAAAATTCCAAATTGGAGGACTCAAACTTGGAAATTTCAAAATTGGGTACAAAGCTACAGTAATCAAAATAGTGTGGCTTTTCCAAAGGATAGGTTGGTGAATAGAACTGACGTGCAGAAACACATTTATGATCATTGTTTTTTGACAGTAGTATGGGATGTTTTGATGGAGGAAAGAATAGTCTTTTTAACAAATGGTTCTGGGATCACAAGATATTCACATGCAAAAAGATGAATTTTTACAGAATTACTCAAAATGTACCATGGACCTAAAAGTAAGAAGTAAAACTATAAAACTTTCAGAAGAAAGCAAAGGCTTATAAATCTCCATGGTTATACATTAGGCAAGGATTTTTTGAAAATGACATCAAAAGTACAAGTGATAAAAAAATAGACGAATGAGACTTCGTTAATATTATAAATCTTTGTGCCTCAAAGGACACTACCAAGAAAGTGAAAACACAGAATGGGAAAAATGTATTTGACAAAGTAAATTTCATGTCTGATAAGGACCTGTGTTACTCAGAGTACATAAAGAACTCTTCTGACTCAACAATAAAAAGACAAGTGACCCAATGAAAAATCAAAAAGCAGATGTTTCTCCAAACAGGACGAAGGGCAGAGCAAATGAAAACTACAGTGAGATGTTTCACTTAGGGAAAAACAAAAATAGTAACAAATGTTAATGAGGATGTATGTAGAGAAATCGAGTAACATGTTAATGAGGATGTAGAGAAACTGGAACTGTATATATTGCTGATGGAAAAAAATAGCTCAGCACCTGTGGAAATCATTTTGACAGTTTCTCAAAATGTGAAACGCAGAGTTGCCATATGACTCCACAATTCCATTCCTTGGTATGTACCTAAGACATTTGTGAAATTTTGCTAGCAAAGTTATGTTTCTATTCACAGACTACACATCAGGTGACAGACACAACTATGGCTGTCTCTCACACAGACACAAACACAGCAGCCATCTTCCCTAAAATTCTAAAACAAAGTAAGTTTATAAACCAAGGGTCTACTGTGTTCAATCTCTGCTGTGACCCTGTTAGGTGAGTAGGGCACTCTTTGTAGGTGAGTAGACTGAGGCACAAAACAGATCAAGTAGCTTGACCAAGATTATATAGATTGTTGGTAATGGAACTTTGATTCATCTAGCCAGACTGTCAGGAATTATGGAGTGAATGAAGGGTGTAAAGCGGGAGGGCAAAAATTGAAGGAGAATTGGATCAGGACCATAAATACTGGGGTTCTGATTAGGAAAGAGGAAGGTCAGTCTTTCTACAATTTATGAAGATGGACACTTGAGATTATCAGAATAAAAAAGGTGAATTTGTACCATTGCTTTGGAGGGAGATTATTTTTTTAAGAAAGTAGAGCACTACTATGTGATATTAGATATTTGTAATAATGCGCTTGTAGCTGTTTCAGAAATGTTTATCTTCCTTTCTTTCACACAGATCTATTCTTACATATAGCCGAATTGGAGGACGAGTTAAGACCCTCACATTCTGCCAAGGTTCCCACTACTTAGCCATAGCATCTGATAATGGTGCTGTCCAGCTTCTTGGAGTTGAGGCTTCTAAGCTACCCAAGTCTCCTAAAATCCATCCTCTACAAAGCAGGTAACTATCTTGTCTTTTTTTAAACCTTGCATTTAGTACATCATGGGGGCTTAACTCTTCCCTGTTCCCTGCAATATAGTTTGGATCGCTGTGGTCCCTTACCTTGTACTTCTTTTGTTAAAGCCATGAAATAAGTAAGACTGCTTCTCCACTGAAAACCACCACATGTACTTAACTTTAGAAGACAATGCTTTTATATCTTATTTTCTGCCAATTCATAAAAGTGTTAAAGGGGCAGCTTTGAACTGACTCATACCAGGCTGGAATCTGTTTAACATAATTATTACATTGTCTATCTAACTACCAAAAGCATACCTCTGTCTGGCTGATTTTGAGATTTTGAGTGTTCTTAATTAGAGACACTAACATCAACATTCTCTTGCTTGGCATTAAAATCTCTGAAGTTGGTGAGAATATAGAATTTTTAGATGTATAATTTTTAAATACTCATTAATTTTATTTAGGAATTTGTATAAATTGTAGTTGTTTACAGATTAAACAGATATAAAATAAGATATTTAAAGTTATTTGTTTTTTTTTTTTGGTACCGGGGATTGAACTCGGGTCCTTGCGCTTGCAAGGCAGGCCTCCGAACTGCTGAGCTAAATTCCTGGCCCCAATATTTAAAGATAAAGCAGGACAATTTTTTGACTGACAAATACATTATGCACTGAGCATCCAAAGACAGGTATTACCTCTAACAATATATAGGTTAGTGGGAGAAGTAGATAAGTAGATGGTTCTAGTGTAATATGGTGATATGCCTTGGTATATGGGTAGCAGGAGCCTACTTGAAAGGGATAGAGGAGGAGACAGCCAGTGATTCAGTCAGGTGAAGCAGGGAGGCTGTGAAAGGCATGCCAGGCAGAAGTGTTGGACCTCACAGAAAGAAAGCAGAATGAAACTGTCAGTGGATAATAACTCATAACCATGTGTAGCTTAAGGCAAAAAGGTTATCTAGGATTTCTTTGTTTTGATCTTATTGTTCTGTTTTGCTTTTAAAAGCATGTATATTTTCAACACGTTCCTTAAACAGATTTGAACAACTTTTGTCCAAAACATATTACTATAACCTTTAACTAAATCAGTACGTGCCAGTTTCCCTTACAGTTTGTTTCAGCAGGTAATGAATATATAGCAATATACGTAGCAAACATGCACATTATATACGTGGTCATCTCCCAGGGGACAGCATTTTTCACTGTGAATGTTACTATCTTTAAACAAATATTTACAGTCTAGATCAGGAGATCTTCCCAGGAATTGTAGATTTTATTGGACCTTACTGTTATTTTACTAACCTGACTATAACATGCTCCAAAGAAACCTTGCTGTGAGTCATTTGTTTCATTCAGCATTTGTGAGTCATTTGTTTCATTCAGCTGTTATCATGACTCTTCCAAATTAGAATGTGTGGGAAGAATCATTTTCATTTTATTTGACATCTTGATTTTCATCATCCTTCTATAGTAGAATTTAGTATTTGTAAATATAAGGTTTAATCTAAGATAGCCTAAAATGTGGTCCACAAAGTAAGATTTTTTTGTGTTTTTAAGTGGTTGTAACAAAACAAAATGAAGAAGACTATGCATGATATATGTATGTGATGCAGAAAGTCTAAAATGTTGACTCTTTATAGAAAATGTTTACTGATGGGCCAAGGATGTAGCTCAGTTGTGCTGTGCCTGCCTGGCAAGTGCAAGGTCCTGAGTTCAAGTCTGGGTACGGGATGGGGGGTGAGGGGGAAGAAAGAAAATGTTTTCTTATCTTTAATTTAAGATATAAAAAATCTAACAGTCTAGGCCAGGGATTTAGCTCAGTGGTTCTGCCTCCTGCATTTTTGTTTTTTGTTTTTTGTTTGTTTGTTTGTTTGTTTTTGTTTTTTTGTTTTTTTTTTTTGCAGCAGGGATTGAGGTCGGGACCTTACACTTGCAAGGCAGGCAGCGGTACCACTGAGCTAAATCCCTGGCCCGCCTCCTGCCTTGTTAAGTGCAAGGCCCCAAGTTTGATCCTCAGTACCAAAAAAAAGAATATGTGTGTGTGTTGTGTGTGTGTGTGTGTGTGTGTGTGTGTGTGTGTGTGTGTGTGTGTGTGTGTGTGTGTAAAAGGTCAGGGCAGTATGTAGTAATTATTGATGATGGCCAGTGTGATTTATGTTTTTGTGTAAAATTGTTTAGGAGTCTGGGGATCAAGCTCATGTACTCAGGCAAGCTGGGCATCATCCCCAAGCCCTATGACATTCAAAGTTGTCAAAGTACCTCAGCTTCAGAAAAACTGGTATACAGTAGAATAGTGCACCACAACCCAAAGAAATAAATTACTGGCTTATGCAGCAATAATGATGAATCTTAAATACACTTTGCTAGGAAGAAATTAGATCCAAAAGGCTATGCATTGTATGTTTCCATTTATGTGACATTCTGGGAAACACAAAGTTACAGGGAGGATAACCGATCAGTGGTTTCTGCAAATTGAGATAGGTAGGTTGATTACAAATAGACTGCACAAGATAATTTGGGGATGCAGAACACTTTTAGGTAGTTCTGTGGTGGAAGGTGCAAGCCTATGTATTTGTCACGACCCATTTAAGTGTATTTCACAAAAAGGTGACTCTTACTGTATGTAAAGTTTTAAAAATCAACCAGGATACACAGGAAAGGTGGAACACAGTTTGTGACAGATGAATTTCTTTTACAAATGAATCATGTAATCACATGGAAGGGGCTTACCATAGAGAATAGAGGAGCCAACCTGAGTAACTCAGGAAACAGTGGCTACCAGGAGACTAATGACAAAAGGAACTGAACTCAAAACATTGTATCCAGTTGGTTATTTTTCACAGGAGTGCAGTTTAACAATTCTGAAACTACTTTCTAAGATTGAAAAATGAGTAAGAATGAGATAAGGAGAGCCAGCCCTCTCACTAATGGAGAAAGAAGGTACAAATAAAGGGCCAGGCTAGAATGAAATGGGACTGAATAGGAATTGGAGATTTCACTATGGACTAATGATAGAGAAGCTGCATATATGTGTGTACGTATAAATAGGTATATATTTATGAAGTAGTGTGTGTTTGTGTGTGTGTGTGTGTGTGTGTATATATATATATATATACACACACACACACACACACACACACATATATATATATATATTATTTCTGACCATTGAGAAACTAAAAGAAAACATCAGACAAATCCAAATTGAAGGATATTTTCCAAAATAACTAACCAGTAGTCTTAAAAACCTTCAAGATTGTAAAAGACTGAGGAACTGTCACAGATTGGTTCTTTGGTCAGTAAAAGGATATTTGTGGAATACAAACTCATAATGAATGCCTTCTGCACTGGAACCATGGTTAATCTCTGTTTCAATAGTTCTATAGTTATGTAGATGAAGGAAATGGTTTTATATATATAAGATATGGGGAGAGCCATTACATACATAGAATGGTTATATATAATATAAAATGGGGAGATGGTTATAAGATGAAGGGAAGCTGGGTAAAGGGTATACAGAAACTGCAACTTTTGTAATATTTCTGTAAGTGTAAATTTTTTATAGCTTTAATTATCTTGATTAGGTCACATAATTTTTATATCTTACCCAGGGATAGGATCTAAATTTACCTTAAATGGCAATCAGTACTGCATTTTTGGTGACTAGAAGTCTTTAGCTTTTGTTTTGCATATTTTTCTAGGATTCTGGATCCCAAGGAGGATGGCTGTGTTGTAGACATACATCACTTCAACTCTGGGGCACAATCTGTCCTTGCCTATGCCACTGTGAATGGCTCTCTGGTGGGCTGGGACCTCAGGTCTTCAAGCAATGCGTGGACATTAAAGCATGATTTGAAGTCAGGCCTTATCACCTCCTTTGCTGTGGACATCCATCAGTGCTGGCTCTGCATCGGTAAGTTGACCTTCAGGTAATTGGTTGGGTTTTTAGTGCCACTGATGCCTATAGTTGCTGTCTTGTCAGTGCTGGTTTTCCTTTTTCTTTTGTCAATCATTTTTCCCCATCTCCTTTTCCTTTTTCATAACTGTGTTATCACATGTATTTTATTTTTCATTAAAAGGCATCTTTGAAAATGAAATCAGTATCACAAGTATATAACAGTTTCCTTTGTCCTTATGTTTAAGGGAGCCTCTTTTCATTATAGTGATCAGATTTGCTGATATGCAGAGAAGCAGCAATTTTAATTTAAGGAAAATAGTGTTTGAGTTAGAGCAGACAGTTTTAAATTCTAGTAACCTCAGCCAAGCTGTTTAACTCCTTAGTCTCAGCATTATCATCTTCAAATAATACTAATTTCAGAATTTGCTTTGAAGATTTAATAATGAGTTAAAAGCACCCATCACTGCCTGTTGTGAGAGAAAAGCAAACAATGGTTTCTCACTTTTTCCTACCTCTTTGAAGATTGGTGGTATAGCATGTGATCTAGCTTACTTCTTTTATTGGTAGTTTTTTTTTTTAGTGTTTAATTATGTAGATGAACTCTGGAAAATATATATATAATAGTATGACCCTTACCATTAAGAGGTTACAAACATTGCCATCATTTTCTCCTCTTTTCATACAGTGCCCTCCTCCTAGACCCTAACAAAACTACTTATCTGATCAGTTTCCATAGTTTTATCCCTTTCCAGAATGTCATCTAATTGGCATCATGTAATGTACACTTTTTTTCACTAGACATAAAACTTGTGAGACTTTTCCATGTGGTTGCATATGTGGGAGTTTTTAATTTATTGTTGAGTAACATTTCATTGTATGGATAATTTGTGTTTCCATTCTCTAGTTGATGGATAATTGAAGAGTTTGTTGTCTTAGTTTTTTACCTTTTCTAAATAAACCGGCAAAAATTTGGAAATAGGTTTTGTAAGGACATATATTTACATTTGTTTCAGGGTGCATACCCATGAATGGGATTGCTTCTGATATAATTATTTTTAATTGACAAATAATAATTGTATACAGATGTACTTATGGGAAGCAATATGATGTTTCAATAATAATATGCTTACATTGTAGAATATGTAATCAGGCAATTACTCTCACCTTACATATATTTTTTTACTTATCTTTCATATTTATTTAATTGCTGTTGCATTAAAAAACTAATCTAGAATTCTTGTAACCATTTCTAATTGTGAAGTATGAATATTTTGGTTGAGGAGCTAGATCTTTTTTTATTTAATGAAAAAATAAAACCAGATGTCATAACAAAATAGAGAATAAGAGTAGGTAATACACTGTGTAGTTATCTTCAGAGTAGTTTCTCAGAGTACAAGACATAACCAAAAAGATTCTTACAAAAAGGAAACAAATAGATAATACACAAAACTTTTTTTTCAGTGAGCTAAGATAAACTAATAATGTAAATGAAACAAAGTAGCATGTATATTGAAGTATTTCTGAAACAACAGAAAATGTAATTTTGGGACGTGTTTGAGCTTCTCCCTACTTCCTATTTATCTCTGTTATTTTGATTTTTATATGTATATATAGATATAAATACATAGTGTTTCTCATATAAGAGAAACCATGTAATATATGAGCTTGTATGGCTGACTTATTTCACTTAATATTATTTTTTCAAGTTACATCCATTTACCTATGAATACCTTAAGTTTATCTTTCTTTATTGCAGCATAGTATTCCATTGTATATAAATACCACATTTTCCTTATCCATTTATGTTAATGGACATACATTCTGTTTTCAAGATGTAGCTATTATATTTATGCTGCTATCAGCATGAATATGGATACAACCCTATAATATGATGGTTTTAACTTTTTGGAGGAAGATACTTAGAAGGGTGATAGCTGGGTCAAATGGAATTTCTATTTTTAGTATTTTGAGGAATCTTTACATTAAATTGATAGTGGTTGTAGTAGTTAACATTCCAACCAACAGTGTAGAAGAGTTCTTTTTTTCCTACGTCCTCACCAGCATTTGATATTATAAAGTTTTTTGAGGGTAACCATTCTTCCTGGGATAAGATGGTTTCTCAGTATAATTTTAATTTTCATTTCTCGGGTGGCCAGCCGTGATTAAAATTTTTTCATATATTTATTGGCCATTTGTAATTCTAAGAAATAGCCATTCATTTGGCTGCCCATTTTTAAATGGGTCTTTTGTTTTGAGAAGTCTTATTTTATTTTTTTTAGTTCTTTATATATTCTAGATGTTAATTCTGTCTGTGAAATAGCTAGCATTTTTTTCTCCCTACCCTACAGAGTGTGTCTTAACTCTGTTACTGGTTTCCTTTGCTGTGCAGAAGCTTTTGAATTTGATAGGATCCCATTTGTTGATTCTTGGTATTATTTCTTGTGCCATTGGAGTTCTGTTCAGAACGTCCTTGCCTATACCTATGTCTTCAAGAGTTGTACCTATTTTATCTTCTAGCAGATTGTTTCTATTTTAACATTTAGATTTTTGATCCATTTTGATTTTAGTTTCATACATGGAGAGAGATATGGTTCTAGACTCAGTATTCTGCTTGTAGACATCTGCTTTTTCCCAGCACCATTTATTACAGAGGCTTTCTTTCCTCTGGTTTTTGGCTTCTTAAAGATGAATAGCTGTATGTGCCTGTGGTTTTTTCTTTTCTATTCTGTTCACATGTTTGTGATGAAAACATTTAAAACTTATGGGGATTTAGCTCAGTGGCACTGTGCCTGCCTTGCAATTGCAAGGTCCTGAGTTCAATCTCCAGTACCAAAAAAAAAAAAAAAAAAATAGAAAGAAAACATTTAAAACTTCTTTTAGCAATCTCAAAATACGCAATTCATTATTACTAAATATAGTGAGCATTCTGTGCAATAGAGTACTAAAACTTATTCCTAAGAACCTTTGAATTCTTTGATCCATGTCATCAACCCTTTACTCATCCACCTTACTCTCTCTTACAGTTCTTTGAACTTGCCCTTGAGAACTTACCACACCTTACTTTTTCCCTCTCCAAAGAATTATAGTGGTCTTTGCTTGAGTTTAAGTTTCTGGATTCCCTTATATTTGCATATTTGTGATATAATTAATTACCTGCCTTTTCCTGTATTACTTTTTAATTAGTTTGTGTGGAATGTATTATATTTTTGCCTTCTGTGTAAAAAAAGTACACAGGTATAGGAACTTCATGCTACATCTAGCACAGTAGCTATCACACATCTCCCAGATCACCACATGTAATGATGCCTCTCTAGCAGCCTGGTCATGGCTGTTTGAGTCATTGTCCTGGAGTGGGATAGGCTGACATACAGAGGGACCTAGGTTGTCCTTTGTGTTCACTGCCCCCTAAGTGCCATCTCTCCACTGGGATTGGAAACCAGTTCATGAACATGCTGTGTGCTCTGTCATTACCAGTTGCTGGGTGCTAGAGCAGGAATTATTCTTTTTTTTTTTTTCTTTCCAGTACTGAGGATCAAACTTGGGACCTTGTACTTGCCAGGCAGGTGCAGCACCACTGAACTCCATCCTGGGCCCAAGGCATTAATCTTTTGGGACAAGGAGGGGGTATCTTCTAGGGTTTAAGTTCGTATGAGATGTTACAGAGGCACTGGATGCCCATACCTATCGCCGAGATGTGCACATGGGAAATACTTGAAATGTGCCAATAGCAACAAAAGCTACTACTGCTTTGGTATAGTAAAATCTAAAGTGATTTTTGGGTTATCAATAAAACGTGTTACTTAAGCCTGTCTGAACATTTGACTTAGCAAATTCAGTTTTGTTCTTTTCTAGAGCTTCTGCTTTTGTGGGTGCCTTTGGCAATTAGTAGTGGTGTCTGTAATTAAATGAATTATTCATTTTAAATTTACATTGATTAGTAATATAATAGCATTATGGTAAGTACTTTGTATCTTTTAACAACTTGTGCTGTTTGAAACTGGGGACACAGCTTCATGAAAACAACAAAGCCTTTTTCTAAGTGACTAAGGCAGTTTTAAAATACATTAATTTAAGCTACTGCTATTTACCTTTTGTATAAATGGAGCCTAAGGTGCTTTGATCATTAGATATAACCTTTTTGTGCTTTTTTTCCCTTAAGGTACAAGCAGTGGTACTATGGCTTGTTGGGACATGAGGTTCCAGTTGCCAATTTCTAGTCACTGCCATCCTTCCAGGGCGCGAATCAGGCGCCTCTCTATGCACCCACTGTACCAGTCTTGGGTGATTGCAGGTAAGATGGAGGATTGGCTTTCGTGGATTGGGGGATGTTTTTTGGAAACTGAATTATGCCCTGTTCCTAAGACTGATGTTTTTAGAATTTTACTTTTGTATATAAACCAAATAGATCTAGAATTTGACCACATTTGACTGTTCTGAAGCTTCACTGTCTTCCTAGTGTAAACCACTATGATTTGTTGCCTCTTTTAATGTAATAGCCTCAACTGCCTGCTTCTCTGTGTCCCTTAAGGTTGTTTTTTCTTCTTCTTAATACTTTCTAATGTTATCTTATTCCAAGTATCCGAGAAACTTTTCTGTGGTCCAAAAGGCTTTTAGGGGAGCTGCCTTTTGCCCACTCTCTGACCTTCTCATTAGTCAGGTTCCAGCAGGAAAGTGATGACACACCAAAGATCAGAAGATCTATTTTTAAGAAACTTTTGCAGAGGTGAGAGTATAGTAGGGGTTCCACAAAAGATAGTGCAGTGGCATGGGATTAGTAACAACACAGCAGAAGGTATTGGGAGTCTGGTCACTGAAATTGGGAAAGACGTTGAACCTTGAGGATAACAGTCGTTTTGAAAGTAGGGATGCCACCACCCTGGATGACTGACTTGACTTTCTTCTCTCCCTTTGATCTCCTGCTGAGGCTCTTCATAAGCATGTGTTAGTTTTCTGTGACTGCTGTAGCAAGCTTGTTAAGCACAAAATCTGTGGCTTAAGACAACAGCATTTGTTTTCTAACAAAGCCTGAAGTCTGAAATGAGTTTTGTGGGCTAAAATGAAGATGGCAGCAAGACCACGCTTCTTCTGGAGGCTCTCAGTGTGAAATGTTGTCTGTCTTTTCCTGCTTCTCTCCATCTTTACAGCCAGAAGCACAGCTTCTTGGTTCTTTGTTATATTGCCTTCTGCTGCTGTTGTCACATGTGCCTACCTCTTATGGTGCTTGTGATCACACTTCAGGCCTCTCTGGATAGTCCAGACCAATCCCCACTTTCAAGGTCCTTAGAGGTTCAAAGTCACTTTGTCCTTTAAGGTGATATTTATGGCTTACAGGAAATAAGATCTGGATATTTTGAGGGGCTGTTAGATTGCCACAGGCCAAACCCCCCTTGAAGACAGAAGATACAAGAGCCTATTGGTGTGGTTCATATAGGTCTGCCTTACAGCAGGGAGTGCACAGTAAAAAGCACCACTGCCCTTTCTTCCAGTAGTCTTTCTTCTGTTCCAGCCAAACCAGTTCGTTGCTTGAACTAAGCACACTCCTGTATCAAAGATTTTGTATTTTAGCTTCCTTACTAGACAGGACATTCCATTGAAAAGAATTTTTGTACTTTATTTGCCATATTTTCTTCAGTGCCTAGGACAGTGACTAGCCACAGTAAATATTGCTGGCTCAGTAATACCAATAAGTGAGGAAGCCTGGTATATTCTCTTTCCTCCTACACCACAGCACATAAGGGATAGTTGCTCTTAGGCCTGCACTTTGCACTTTTGGTAATCTGCCTCTCTACTCTATCACAAATAGGCTTCAGTTGGACCAACTACTCAGATTTCCCCAAAACAAGAGATTTTTGCTTGATGTTTCTTGCTCATTCCTTTCTTTCTGGCCACAGTGGTCTACCTGCCACCTCTGTCTGTCCAGCTTTACCAGCCTTTTCAGGTAAATCATTCAGCTAAATCATCTTGTCTGTGAGGTGACCTTGCTTCTCACCCACTGGATGTGATGTTTTCTTCCCGAGTTCAGGTGAAACTTTGCACTTTGTTTCTTTCTGTCTTAATCATTTCCATGTATTTTTTCCCCTCCACTTCTAGACTGTAAATTTCTTGAGAGCAGGATCTATGTATGATTTTATTTTTCTACCCCACACTTGTTTTCAGCTGATTGGTGATCAGTAAATAATACTGCTATATCACTGTTAGATTATTTGGAAAAAACTAAAACTCCTGTCTGATAGAAGAGGTAAAGTTGTTTGAAAGTTCTAGTCAACATTTCTTACAAGGTGGGAAAATGGAAATGGATACAAGCTGACTGTATTATCTACCATGATGTGAAAGCTATGAAAGTGAGTTCCTCCTTGCTTAATAATTCTGGACTTTGTCTTAGCTGTTCAGGGCAATAATGAAGTGTCCATGTGGGACATGGAGACTGGTGACAGAAGATTTACTCTCTGGGCCAGCAGCGCACCACCACTTTCTGAGTTACAGGTTTGTCTTCAGTTTTCACTGTAATGGATGATGTTACTGTCCACATCCTAACAGGATCTTTTAGCAAATGTGTTCTTTTGGGCTTTTGGGTTATGTTTAAATTTGGGTTTTTAATAGCACTAAGCATCATGTGGCCATTGCTGTACAGGTATTTTCTAATCCTTAAGCTTGCTACTGTTTGCCTCATTGAATGTTTTAATTGCTAACTCCATTAGGTTTCTGATATTTCTTTGGAATCCCAGTAGACCTGAGTTAATCAGGCAAATCCTGGATTGAAATTTAGGTTTTAAAGAATGGAATATAACCTTACATATACAGAGGGCCCTTACTTAAAATGTTTTGACATTATAATAATACAGAAAGTGATATGCTTTCACTACTGTACTTTTTATTTTGGTCTTTTTCTGGGTTAGCAGTATGTGTTATACTCTTGTGATGTTGGGCAGCAGCAGTGAGCCCTGCCTCCCGGTTGTATCACAACGGTAAAAATTGATACTGTAGGCTAAGCATATTAAACGAATTTTCAACTCACGATGTGTTTATTGGAACATAACTCCAAGATAAATTGAGGAGCACCTCTTTAGTTGGGATCATGCTCAGGATGGTTCCAGAATTTCAGAAAGCTAAACAGGCTATACCTCTCTGTTCAGAATGATAAAGGCAACTGTATTTTAAAGTCCTAATATGTCTCTTATTTTTTCAGCTGACCAGATGCTTATAAACTATTGAGAGTTAACTTGCCTCTGGAAATGGTACTGTCATTATGGGCACACTGATATCTTTTATTTGACTCCATATTTATTTCTTTTAAGCCTTCTTCTCACAGTGTCCATGGTATCTACTGCAGTCCTGCAGATGGGAATCCTATCCTGCTAACGGCTGGCTCAGACATGAAAATAAGGTACAGTATCTCAAAATACTTCATACTTAAAACATCGCTGGATACTTTGGTTTATGAAAATTATCAACACCTTGCAAGGACGACTATCAATACACTTTATTGTAATTAATGATAATGTTATTGGTTTTGGAAACATCTCTTGTCATAATGTGAACAAAGCATTGTGTTGATGAATATATACCAGTGATTAATTCTTGCCCATTATTCAGTAAAGATCATTAGCATTTATTTCCTCTTCCTTAGGTTTTGGGACTTGGCTTACCCAGAAAGATCTTACGTTGTGGCAGGAAGTACTAGTTCCCCATCTGTGTTCTACTATAGAAAAATAATAGAAGGCACCGAGGTTGTCCAGGTATTATACTTTTTATTTGTGTTTCTTTCAATCTATATAGGTACAAAAATGACTGGTCAAGACTGTCAGTCCTTTGAATTTAAGAAATACGTTTATTTTCTCTTGGCTTTCTGTATTATAATAAAGATTATACACATAAATGTGTAACTCAAAATGAATAGTAGGCACTTTACAAAGGAATGAGAAATATATATGAAAGAATTTTTTATTTTCCTTAAGCCAAGAAAATTGGCAGACAAGTTAGTACTAGCCCATGATCACACAGCCAGTAAACAGAAAACTTTAAGATTCAGACACAGCTTTTGAGACTGTAAAACTTTATTCTTGTCACATTTGAAATATTGTCTAAGTCATTTTATAGTCTGGCCAAAGTAAGTCTCTATGCTTCCTAAGGATCTTTAGAAATAGGTAGAACATCTGATATATTCTGTTCCCTTTTTTCTTTGATGTTAATAAAAGTTAATATGCACAAAATATTGGCGATTAATAAGTGTTCCATATTTGTAAGTGGCTACTCAGCGTATTTAGTGACTGGAAATCTAGATGTTATTTTGGACCAACAGATTTTACTTTCTTTGCTTAGTTATTTGTGAAAGCCAATTACTTTAGACAGGGTTTTAACTTTAGAGCAACAACATATTCTAGAGGCAAGGACACTGATAGGAAGTAGAATGTTACACAGATTTCATTTCTGACTTTCTCCTTGACTTCTAACCATCAAACAGGAAATTCAGAACAAACAGAAAGTAGGACCAAGCGATGATACCCCTCGAAGGGGCCCGGAGTCTTTGCCTGTGGGACATCATGATATCATCACAGATGTTGCTACCTTCCAGACAACACAGGGCTTCATTGTGACTGCTTCTAGAGATGGGATTGTAAAGGTGTGGAAATAAAAATCTACTGATTTTTATAGAAAAGATATATCTAGAGAATGGAAGAACAAATTAATTTGCTTAATTTAAAAACCATGTCTGTATTACTCTTTCATAACTAACAGATCCCACTCAAAAGTAGAGAAAGCAGCTGACTTGGCTAGTTTACTTGTGCAAATCTCAGCAAGAGTCAGCCAGACAACATCTGGGACTTTTTATTGTATATGTCACAGAGGTGAGAAATATCAAATATGGAGATAAATATGATCTCCGTCTATTTTGTATTGAAAAAGATGGTTATAAGCTATTATAATGTAAACAGTTTTGTTATTAAAAATGCTATTCAAACCATTGACACTGTATTCAAACATCCTATGAGTTTTTGGTTTGTTTTGGGTGGTGTTTTATATAGTAAACGTAAGCAGCAGATAAACAGACTTGAGTGCCCCAAGAAAGCAGTGAGAAATACTCTGGACTTTCTGCTTGGTTACCATATCTTTGTATTTTACATTCTACCTTATTAGTTATTTAACACTATAGAATTGATTACTTGTGTATCAGCTCTAGAGAAATGTGGCTTTTCTTGACCATTATGATTTTTCATAGGGTCTATCAAATGCCTCTCTACTATCAGCTTTCATTTATCCAGTGTATTTATTAAATTTATATTTTTAAAATGCCCAAACTGGCTTGTGCTACTTAGCTAAAATCTTTCAAGGTTATAGATTATGTTTGTAACTGACCTGATAATTTTCTCTCCCCATTTTATTCTCTTCCATTTACAGAAGACTTTATCGTGCTCAAAATATTTTACTTTGAAATTAGTTATAAGAGTATAAAACCAAGGGCCAGGGATTTAGCTCATTGGTGCCACCGCCTGCCTCACAAGCGCAAGTTCCTGAGTTAGATCCCCAGAACCAAATAAAAAGAATATAAACCCAAAAATTTGAAAAGGTAACCTGAATCTGGAGAAAATACTACTTAAGAAATACACTAAACATTTAAAAATATTCTTATAAAGTTCAGTTTGGTACATGACAGTTTACAGTGTACACATCCAGCTTCGTGATTTAGCACTCGTAGGTTTTGGATGAGTAAACAGAAGTGTCAGGAAATCCCAGCTCTTCGGAAAGGGCAGAATGTTAGTAACCGCACTCACGAGGCCACCTGGCTTAGGGGATTTGTGGACTTTGCGACATTGGCATCGGCCTGTTGTATTTCCTCTTTCCTTCTCAGTGTGCTGCGACCATATTTACAGGATTCTGGCCATTAAGTCAGATTTCAGAGTCTGCAGGGTTAGGGAAATTTTTTGTTGCATAAATTGTTGCCTGCAGAATAGGCTTTGGGATAAGCCCTGAGATTTAAAGCTGTGAGACATGCTGACCAGGGATATTCTTTTCTTCCTGCTATCCTTCCTAGGATCTCATTTCCCAGATAATTTGTATTTTTAAAAAAGAGTATTTGGTTAAATTGTTACTTAGTGTTACAATCTGAAGTCACATCTCTTTTTTTAACCTCTGTTTTCTTTTAACAAGTTTGACTCATAGCTCCATGCAGAGGTAATGGGAGGCAGGTCCATTATATTCAGTTAACTTACATTTTTCAGTCAAGAAGTGGTACTGTTTATTTGGATTCTTGTTTTTAACTCAAGCTTATTAAATTTACATTTAAGTTAATTTTTGTTGCTTTCTACTTTTAAGAGAAAGAAAAATCAAGGAAAGTGCTGATACAGGGATTTATTTTGAAAAAAAAAGAAACTTCGGTTTGCAGCTTGGCTTCAGACCCCTAACTTACTAATGATTAAATAAGACCCAAAAATGCTAAAGTAATCTCAGTCACCAAGGTAATATTTGTTTGATGTACTTTACTTACCAACACAGAAAAAAAAAAAAAAAAAAAAAAGATATATATATATATGTTTGTATATATATATAAAATATTGC